ACTTGAAGATGACTAATGACAGATTGTCCAGCCATCGTGGTGTTGCACTGAAAAAAGCGGATCAAAAAAAAGTTGTTCTCAAAGTGCGGTTTACTCTTGCACAATGAATATTAAATAAAAACAATAATGGTTACTATTACAAGAGTTTGGTGTGCAGGAGCTGCATATCAATTAACTAGTTCTTGGTTATTTTTGCACTTATTTACCTATTGCAGACCATTTTTTTTGCAGTGCAGTGCACGACGGGTAGGTGTTTGAGGCACCCACAGATATGTCACATTTGTCTAGCCAACAAATACTTCATCAAAGTTCCGCAGGAAAACACTTGAGGCTCCTGCGGTGATTTTTCTAAGCTGTCAACTGCAACTGGTCCCAGGAACTGGACATGGCCAGGATATCATCATCATCAGCAGCAGCAGCAGCCGCAGCAGCCGCAGCCACCAGCAGAGATACTAATTGTCATCCATAAGCCTCAGGCGCCCAAAATTCGGTAGGAAAATCAAGAAAAACCCATTGCAAAGTAGTGGAAAGTCAACCTAATTTGTTACCTTAACGGGCAAATCAAACAAGTAGATATTGATTTATATTCAACATGAAGGCAATGCAACAAAATATTTAAATACATTAATATGAAAATTAAACAGACACATGTTACCATTGGCCATTGGCCGAATGAAGGATGGAAAATATATTTTGATACAAAAGGCGCAGCCAACGGGGAGAAATACTGTAAAAATGTGTGCACATATGAGCGAAATAGAATTGCCGTAACATATGCAATAGACGTAGAACTCCTGTGATTGATTGCAAAAAACTCCCTCCAGAGTGTGGAAATGCGAAAAATATTGCCAAAAATCCAATTGTCAACGCATTCCAATGAAACGGACGAGAAGGGGTTTCCCACTGAAATGCAAAGCAATTAGCAGTCAGCGGGTGGAAGCAGTCAGCACAGGAAACGGAAGACAAAATCCTCCCTTTTCAGTTGAGAAAAAGCAGCGTTTTTTTTTTCGTTTTATACGAACTTTGTTCCCTTTAGTGGCGCCACCTGCCGGCCAGCCCTTGAAGCCCTGGAGCAGCTAATGAACAACAAACTTAAGGATTTTCCGGGTGGAAAAACGTAACGAGAAATGGCAACAAAATATCGTCAATAAGCCAAAAGAAATTACAGAAATTGCACAAATTAAATGAAATGCAATTAACTAGCTAAATGAGCGAAGCCCTTGAGGAAGGGGAAATGCTAAAAAGTTGGTCGAGAAAATGAAAAAGTACGCGGAAAATGCGGAAAGGGATTTTCCGCCCAAAGGGGAATGAATCCGATTTGTAAACTTAGAATCACGAATCACGCTTCTGTTCGGTAATTAGCAAATGCAAAATTACAAGGTGCACTATGCAAAAATAGTTAGTCTTCTAGCCAAATATGCATCAAAATGAATATTTAATATTAGAGTGGGTTCTCCAGCAAAAAATAAGGACTAGCAACAGATTATCCATCAAGTTTTAAGTAGGTAAGAGTAGGTTTAAGGTGTAACTTTAACAACATTAATAGGTAAAGTTTTCAAGTTTTTAAATTTGAGTTAATAGTAATATTTTGATTGCTTAAAGTATATTTTGCTTCAGTGCTGTGGGGTAGGTGGCAGTCAGTAGGGGAAGGGGGTCACCTGCACAGGACTATCCTTCGAGTGGATGGCATTGCCGGCGGCTCATCCTTGATTCCTTGGCCATGCAAATGAGTTGGATTTATGCATCCCAGTTGCCCCCACCAGGCAGCTCCATCTTGCTGCTCCTTCCGGGAATTTTCGATGCACATCGATTGATTTCGCATCAACGCAAAATGCGAAACGGATTATTAAACTTGCCACTGGCCAGGTGTGTACCGGAGCAGCAGAGCCACTAGGCAAAGCCACTGGGGGAAAAGCGGCTGGGAAAGAAGTGGAAGACAATTTTGCAGCTGCTGCAATTTTCGATAAATTCTTTGCTCAAAAGATGCGCCGGGTAAATGGGAAAGGGCGGTATGGAGTCGAGTGGAGTCGAGTGGAGTGGAGTGGAGTGGAGTGGATTGGTATGGCATGGAATGGGGGCGGAATTGGACGGCATCGGATGCAGCAGATATTTCATTCATTTCCATAATTTTAATAAAATTGAAGAAAAATATTCAAGGCAGTTCCGCAGAAGCAGCGGACGACAGCGGCGGACGATGGCGAAATGAAAAGCGGAAAATGTGAAAACGCAAAATATGCGGCAATGTAATAGCGGCCATGTCACACGCACAGTGCCACCAAAATCCACGACAACTTAAGTAATAAATACTACAAATGAAAATTGCATAAAAGTGGCATTATTTATACAGTTTTCCATGGTGAAACCATGTGAAATTTCAAAACCTGCATCATTTCATTTTAAACGAGCATGTTATTTTCTATTTTCGATTCAGTGTGCTTGATTGCTGCTGCTGGCATTTTCATCGTCTTCATTCCAATTCGGTTTCCGCAAGTTTATTTTGCTTTTGTACCTGCCCCGTAAGGTTGTGTTTTTGTTTTTTACCTTTTTTCAACTTCTATGCTATACGTGTGCTGCTATTTACCCCTTGCAGATGACGCCCCTGATGCCCCGAACCATATATATTATCCCATGAGGAGCGATGTGGGACCATGTCAAGCAAATGACATAATTCAGTTGCTGGCAAAGTTTTTGACTGATGCCATGACAAGCGACCCCCTCCCCACACCGCCCTCCATGATTTCTTGGCCAAAAGTTCAACGTTGGTTTCTGATGCTCGCTGATTGCCGACCATCTTGCCGAACCACTCATTCTCATTCATTTTTATAAGCACTGAAAGAAAAACCCGCAACTTGTCTGCTATCCATACTAGATTAATAAACCCTTCCGCCATAGAAAGCAAAATAAGAATTTATTTAGGATCAAATTACCGATAGCTGAAAAAACATTGTGTTTGGGCAACGAGGCGTTTTTCAAGTGCATTTATTTTTGAAAGAAGAACAAGCTCAAGTAACAGGAGCCAAAGGATATGTCACCAGGTGGAGGTGCGCATTTAATCCAACCAAAAGTCCTAACATCAACAGCCAAACTGTTTCAGAACACAGAGCAAAAAGTGAGTCGAGTCAAGGACTCGAAAGTCGAGGGGTTAATACCAAACATGTGCCGCCTCTAAACAATGAAAATGACTTTCGCCGACAGGGAAACTGGTGAAAAACAAGAAAAAAAACAAACAAAAAAAAAACGACCGAACGAAACGAATGCAAGGGCAAATTAAAATGTTCAAAAGTTTTCAGGACATTTCAGGCCGGGTGAGCTATTTGCCCTTTTCTTCATGGCAAATTTACGAGGTTTCCCCCGTAAAGCCACTTGAAAGCATCTCTCGCTCATAACTCATGATGTTTTGGGCCCCTCCTTGGCCCTAAATCTTTTTTTACTTTGCTCCTTTTTGCATTGGGCTTTTAATTACGTGCGCCCAGGCCCCTGCAACATCAGAATGGCCCGAAATTAATTTAGCCAAATCATGGGGAATCAACAGGAGTAGGCTCCAAAAACAAAGCAACAAAAAAACACAAAAAAGAGGAACAAAAAGGGCATGTGCGTGACGAAAGGGGACAGGGAAAGAGAAAGGGGGAAGAGCCGAATAATAGAATAGAATGGAATGGACGGGAATGGGCTGGAATGGAGTGGAGTAGAGAGGAGTGGAGTGGAAGAGGCACATGCAAACACAAGGGTTAAGCAGCGCCAGCCTCCTCCACATGTGTGGGCGTGTCCCGGCCCCCTGCTTTTTTTATATTTATGGATACTACGTGTTGTAGTGGGCGTGTTATGGCCATCCCCACCTTCTATTTCGTTGCCGTTTTTAGGGCCAAAGCGACAACATAAAACAGTCGTAAAATTTATTAAGTGACATTTTTGTGTATGTAAAATAAAGTAGCCGGGGAAAAGCAGAACAAAAAAAACCAGGCATAATCATAAAGCAAACCAACAGAAAAATGTAATAATAAAACGACATAAACAGGGGAAAAACATTTGCTGGACAAACGTAATTAGGCAATGGGAAATTAAAAAACAAAAACAAGAAAACGAAAACGAAAACGAAAACGAAAAATAAGTGTGTGCAAATCCAAGAAGCTTGTGGAAAATGTTATCCACCGAATTTCCCTCGGAATTTTCGCAATCAATTAAATATTAATTAATTGCCTTGTTGTCTTCGCGTCTTCTTTTTGGCCAAGTTCACTTGCTAATTTTACATTTCCTAATTGCTCATCAGTCGCTTGATTGTTAACCACGCCTCCCACCTCCCACCTCCCACTCCCCCTGGAAAACGCCTTCCTTCGCGGGGGTCTAGCTCATTTAGCTGGTTAATTGCATTTCATTTAATTTCCGTAATTCCTTTTGCCCTATTGACGATATTTCGTTGCCATTTCGCGTTACGTTGCTCCAAGTTTGTTGTTCATTAGCGTGCCAAAGTTGCTACCAAAAACTGCGGGGTCTGGCCGCTAGGTGGCGCCACACCGGGGACAAAAGCCGTTCAAAAAGGGGTCGAATTGCTGGCCACCTTGCCATCTCAATCTCTTTGCTCACTCACTGCTAATTGCACAGCTTTTTAGTGCCCCCCTCCCGCAATTTCTCCCCCTGCTCCTACATTGTATCATTTAATTTTAAACATTTTATTTCTCGAATTTATAGGGGCTGTAAAAGTGTAAGTTCAACTTATACTTGAACTTGTGCCATTTTTAAAATGCTAGCATTGCCTTTTTTTTAAAGCTTACGTAGGTAAACAAAAACATATAAAAACATGCTAATTTATAAAATAAATCCTTGCAAGGATTACCGTTGAAAACATTTTAATGTTGGCTATTTTCATTTGTTCAAGCCCAATTATTCGCACATCAATTGTTACTATAATTATTAATGATAATAAGCCATTAAAAGTTCTGCCAATTGCCATTATCTTTGCTGAATAAATGTTTTAAAAATCAAAAATCGTCAATTAATTTGGTTTAGGTGGGACCGCTGGGCGGATTTTCGGGCGGCGATGTGGTCGGTGGTTCGGGAGCGAACCGGAGGGGATGCTTCAAGCGCCAAGGATAAACGGCGCCATGCCGCTCCATGATGCCGCTCTTCTGCGGAGGCCTCAACGCGAAGGCGAAGGTCCTTTGGATCAGGGCCAATGGCTTGGCCTCGGACTGCAGGGCATTGTATAGCTCGACCTTCTTGCGCGTCATCGTGTGGGTGGTGGGTGGACTGATGGCCTGATTAACGCAATTATCGCGCCACAGCTCAAACTCTTCCTGGGTGAAGGCCAAGTTGGATACATCGTTGATCTCGTGCTGCACCTCCAGGTCCTCGTAGCGCAGTCTCAGCGCCACATTGGTGGGTATCTGCTCCACCTTGTAGCCAAAGTCCAGTTCGCAGGTGCCCAGCACCTCGGCGATCCGATGATCAGGCAACTCCTCCTGCCCATTGATGTTCACCCGCACAAAGCACCCAGTGACGGCCTGTTCGAAGGACGGGCGGACCAGTAGCAGGCCGATTCGATGGCGGCTCAGTTGTAGCTGCTCCAATTGATCGCGACTGGTCACTGGGAGATCTGGCGGTGGAGGCTTCTCGTAGCCATCCATCCATGCCTCGTTCTCGTCGTCGATTCGCAGGGGCGAGGATCGAAGATTCCGCAATTCACGGACTATTTCCGCTGCCGGACGACGAAAGTGTCGCGATCGCTGGTCGGACATTTAAATTTGAGCAATTTTTGGTGGCTGTCGGGAGTGGATTGAACAAAATGTAATTGTGACAACTGGAGCGATGAGATACGGTGACCTTTTCAAGTTTTTAAGCTCATTTCAAAAACTCTGGCAAGTATAAACGAACTGTAGCATACTTTGCAGGGCACTCTATTCGTCTGTTTTTATTTTTTGTCTAGCTGATACATTTGAATGCATTTAACGACCCGCCTTCGCTTTATGCCCTCCATAAATGCCAGGGGCCAAACTATTAAATTTATATTAATTTCGTAGTTTTTCCTTGGCCAGCATTTCGCTTGGCACCCGCTGGCTAAGCCCCCTTCCCACCCATCCCGATTATATGAATGTATGTACATATATACCTGCTGGGGTTAAAAGGAGCGGCAGTGAGTTGGATCTTTTCCCATTTGGCAAAAGATTTATTATACAATTGCTTTAATTACAGTTGCAGCTAATTGTATGCGGACCTCCCGGGCAGATGCTACTTTTGATGCTGGCACAGAGCCCATTCAGTGGGTGGATGGCTGATACTGGGTAGTGGATAGTGGGTAGTGGATAGTGGGTAGCGGATAGTGGGTGGTGAGTTAATGGAAGGCTGGTGGTTGCCTGATGGAAGGGTAATGCAAAATCTTTGCATGCTTTGTATGTGAGTCTGCATAAATAACTTGGCTGTATGTGTGGCACATCGAATATGCTGCTCACGCACAAATTCTCCTCGCTCTGCTTGTCGTCCTTGCGACCCCCATTCACCCCCCCTCAACCACCTTGAACCCCACCTCATTTTGGAGTCTCCCTCAGCCAGTTCCTTTGGATCCTCCGCCGCCCCATCCTTCAGCATGCGCATACACTTAAGGGCAAACTCGTTTATGCAAGCTCAGTCATCATCATCATTATCATCATCATCGGCATCCACATCCATATCCTTGTCCACCGCCACATCAGCATCGCTATTCAGGCCATCTCCACCTACCCATCTCAAGTATCCAACACCTCCTCATCTTCGACGAGCTGACCATCAGAAATCCCCTTCGATTTCAATGATTTTTTCCTTTTTTGGCCATAAGGCGAAAGAGACACTGCCAAAAATGGCCGATTACGAATTACACAAATTAAAAAATAAGACATAAATAATTGCCCAGGATGGGAAGAGCCAGTTTAATAGAATCTTATAAGCAGATGGATGTATTTGCAGGCTATGAATATATACAAAGGGGCGTAATTTATGGAGCTAGAGCAAAGGGGCAAACTTTGAAACAAATCATGTGGCGTTGATGTTATTAAAACGGCGTGTAAAAAATAAGAAAAAAAGTGAACATCATGCAAATAATTTAAGCCGAGTGGCTATGAGTGTGAAAAATCCGAAATCCTAGAAAATTCGAAATGCCATGAGACCCATCCATCCATCACGGTGGCATCAGCTGGTGAGGAGCCAACATCAAGTCTACGAGGCTCAAGAACTTTTCCTCGAACACCTTTGGGCCGGGGGCGCAGCGCAGTACAGTCACCGCCATGGAGGCCAGTTTGGCCACTCCTTGACGTTGACAGGCTGTGCAGAAAGTTTGCGCCCATGAGTAGTGTCATGGGTAGTACGTAGCTATACGTACGTACTACATACCCATGGGTGAAAGGCGAGGGAGGTGCTCCGGTGGCCGGAACCCTCGTCCAGCTGACTGACATGCCAAGCCCTTAACCCTTTGCAGTGCTGCCAGCAGTGCTCAGCGGTAGAAAAAAAAGAAAAACAAACCCTAATGAAATGCAAGGATTTTATATGCATAAGAAAGTACAGATAACTATTGGGAAGCACCATATTATGCCTGCTAATTAGTGCACACGATACCATAGCTTAAATCCAACTCGGTAGCTACTAGATACTATTTGATTCGCACGAGGCGAGATTCAGTGGCTCAAGTGCTGGGCGAATTTCCGTGCCATAAATGGCGGCGGACACAGGCTGGTTGCGAAACGAATCTAGGATACGGATACCCGTGTCAAAGGAAATAAAAGAAAAGACGCAGGGAAAGTGGGCGGCAAATGTGACTAGGCCAGGGGCAGTTGCCAGTTGCCAGTTGCCAGTTGCCGGTTGCCAGTTGCGAGGTGCCAGTTGGCGGCGAGGCAAGGAAACTTGTTTGTTGCACAGAAACAAAGCGCTTCTGCTTTTCATGTAAAATGACAGAAACAAGTGTTAATGGTTTCGGGCTTAGCGGCTATGGAAGGGAAGTGGAAGGACGACGACCGACGGCCGACGGCCGACGGACGCAGAATGGACATCTGGAAAATATGCAGTCCAAGCAGATTAGATATCATACGAAAAGGTGTGGCGGGAGTGGGTGGCATTTACAGTCGCGTATACATTTTATATATTTATAGGCTTGAATATGTCTAATTTGTTGGGCGCAAGGTCACATTACCTTTTGTTCTTAGCTTGCAGGATCACACTTCAATTGGTTTCTTACACTCAAACAATTTATTTGCCATAAATTCCTTTGTTTACTGCGGCCAAAGGGAAACTTTTTCATTTCAAATTGAAATGACAGCTAGCTGGCACTTTTGTGTTTATTTCCTTTTGCCTTGCATTTTTTATTGTGCTAATTTGTGGTCTTCCTTTATGACAATCAACTCTGGTTGCGTGTAAGTCTTACTTCCCCTTTTTTTTTTAGAGCTTTTCTCCGTTCCGTCTTCTTTTTTCTCCGGATCTCGGCATTTCTTTTTTTTGTCAGTTCTTCCCCCGCTTCTCGCCTCACAATTTTCCAGTCTGGGCCCAATTTCAGTGTGAAACCACCGCAGTCTGCCCCGCAAAACCCGAAAACCCAACCACTAGACCCTCGAACCAACTTGCCAGCCCCTCTATTTTTCCCTTTTTTCGACTCCGCCTCTGTCTCTGTCTGTGACGTGAGCTCTTTTGCTATTTTGAGTTGGATTTTTCTGCTAGTTTTTTTGTTTTTTCTGTTTTTTTCAGTACATTTTTTTTCTTTTTTTTTGTTGCTGTGCAGTTGCAGCTTTTTGCATTTTACCTCCAGGAATTTTTCGTTCCGTATGCATATGCAAATGCCTCGGCCTACATGTGTCGGTGTCTGTTACCCCACAAACCAACCTCCCCCCCTCCCACAAGCCTTTTACCACACACACCCTACCCACTCCCCATTCCCCCCTCCCCCCTCCCCTGCTGTCTAGCATATGGGAAACTTTTGCCAGCATGTTGCCTACTGCAGTTGTTTTTTTTTCTGTTTTTTTTTCACTCATTTCTTGCTGATTCCCTTCGTACGGTGCAGAATTACAATAATGAAAATGTATTTGCAAAACTCGCCTAATTAGTTGAATATGAGCCATGTTGGGTATTCAAATATGCACAGGCAAGATGTCAGACAGGGACAGCATGCGGGAGTGAGTGGAAAGGGGCGAGTGTATGACACAGATAGCAAACACGAACTGTAGAACGATCAAAAAAAAAAAAAACAAAAAAATAGTTCCTCAAGTACACTGCTATTGTTTGACAGGCAACAAAAAGTCGCTTATTGCAGTGCCTCTATATAACCACTCGATTTCCCATTTTCACGTAGATTTCCCATCGATCAATGCCATTTCAATGGCTCACAATTAAAATATAACTCAATTCCACACTAATCTCTTCGAAAAACACCTCTTGCTATTTGAAGTAAAGTAAAGCTGCCTTCAATTTGTAAAATACCAAATTAAACATGCGAAAGAAATCCGTGGACATTTGAGTGGGGCACATAAACCTTTTGTGATATTAACCCACTTTCGTGAGCTTGCTGGGAAGGGGGATGGGGGAGTGGGGGGGGGGGGGGGCAAGTGTTAAAGTTGTCGAGAGCATTGAACGCACCTGCTACACTTGTCCTTCGCTTTTGACTTTGGCTTAAAAACAAAGAAGTAAAAAGCGCGAAATTATGATTTCCTCCTTACCTTTGGCTCAGTTTTATGAGTTTGGCAGCAGGTGAGAGCATAAATTTGTTGCCCCCCAAAAAAGTTCTGCTTTCTCGTTTTTATTTTTTTTTTTGTGGGGGAGCTCTTTTTGATGTTAGCTAGAACCAAAAAAAAAAACAAAAAAAGTACAAGCCTGTCGAACATGAGCAAACATAATCGACGGGCATTCGACAAGCAAATTTACACAAATCACCACATTAGTGGGTGCTGTGGGCGCAGTGGGCGCGGCAGATAGGAGCACACATCATAATCACAACACATCAAGTGACAATCAAAACCGCAAACAGACAAACGGCATCTCAGAGCAGCCTGTAAGTGATATGTGGGCGGTTGGGGCGAGTGGGTGAGGGGGTGAGGGGGATGGGGAGCATTCATTGGGGGGTTAAGGGTGGTGGTCTCTGCCGGTGGCCAAGGGGGATTTTCCTGGGTGGTGTGGAAAACTCCCCAGGGGCGTGGGCGTCCCACATGTGTCCGTAATGACGATTAACTGCTGAGCCGCAATTAACTGTGAACAGGCGGAAATACACTGAATGACAGCTGGAAAAGCGGCTGGTGCGCGTGTGGGTGGAAAATGTTGCTACCAAAGCGAGGAAAATCGAAGGAAAGCCGCATCCACACGCAGCATTTTCTAAGGACAGCGTCAAGGTGAAATAATAAATATAAAAATAAATATTCTCTTGAAAGGAAATATGAAATACAATATAAATATGAAATTTAAATGAATATAATGAAAAACATTTACTAATTGGCTTAGCTATCCAAAAGGTAATTCCACAAAATTAACTCAACATTTAGGCCCACAAAACTCGTTTGTGAGCGAATCAAAAAGCAAAGTGAATGAAGCCAAGTGAATAAATGATTCATATTTGATTTGTGACCAGGGAACTTGTTCTATCTACTGTATGTGCTGCTGCCCTGGTTTTATTAATAAATAAAATGGAAAAATTGGAGCATATGTGGAAGTTTTCCCTTCGCTTTGCTCCGAATGGGGGGCATGGGCATATGAGTTTGTGATATGAATGAGTGCGCCGGCAAAGGCAAACAAATGCGCAAATAAATCGAGCTGGGTGGGTGGGTGCGTA